CCAACTCCTCCCTCAACCCCTTCCTTTCTGTAATGTATGCATGATGTTTCTGGGGGTGGGCTTGACCTAGAGGAGGGGAATTTCAAAAGTTTTTATAAGACCTGGCACACTATTTTTCTGGGTCTTTCCTCTCACCTGCAAGTGAGGGGAGCACCCTGTCATGACAGTCTTTCTTCAATAAAGACCAAGCCTACAGGCTGCTGATTTGCTTCAATCTACTCTGGTTGGTGTCTTTACTTTTTGTCCAAGGGAGCCCTCAGATTTTTCCGGTAACAAGCCCTTCCTCAAAGAGCCAGCCATCCCAAACACCTCCATTACTTCTTACTGCATTTTTTGTTTTTGTTTCTGGTAACAAACCACAATGGGTGGTCCTTTGAAAAGCTAGATTGCTTACGCAGCTATGCGTCACAAAAGCCAGTTTTTTGCCTCTGCATCAAAAATCCAATATTTGCCCAGTAGATCTCAAGCACAGTTTGTGATTCTCGCCGTTGAGCGCTGCGCGACAAAGTAAAATCAGAACGATTCTACAAATCCGCCCCTTTTTAATATGAAGATGATGGAGGGCGGGGAAGGTGGCGAGCTGAGGAGTATAATCCAGATTAAGACACCCATGCTGAATGTGGTTTTAGGAGACTGGTATGCTGTTTAAATCTTTCAGATTTGTCTGTCCAGATGTATTCTACAGATAAACTAAGCATGGATTAAAGCCAGTTTTGAACTGGTCTGTTGAAAACCCAACAGGAACCGAGGACTGCTGCCAGTTAAAATAGAGCAAGCCAGCAAACGAGAAAGATTGTTCCCCTTTAGTTTAGCGGTGGAGCACAGAAGATGCCAGTTTCTCCAGAAGGGGCTGAGATACTGGGGAAATTCCCTGTCTGAAATCCCAGAGAGTGGCGGCCATCTGATGTCAATAATAGTGAGACTGATGACCGTAGTTCTGAATGTGTCTAAGGCAGCAAGCACCCTCTGTTCGTAATCAAACGAGCCATTCATTTAGATCCACGATTACTGGAACCTCCCTATGGTTAGTGAAACTAGAATAAATTGTGCAATAGAAAAGGAACAGCGCAGAGGTGCTTAATCAGTGCAATTTATGCAAGTTGCAGAATTCAGGATGTGGGTTTATTCTGCCCCAGAATTTGTCATTGTTGCATGATACATAGAGCCTTGGCTCTGGCTATTGCTGGCTCCTGTGGGAGTGAGTTTTGTGGATTAACTATGCTGTTTGAAAAAGTATTTTCTTTTGTCTGCCCTGAATTTTCCAACATTCAGCTTCACTACATGTCCACGAGTTTTAGTGCTATGAGAGAGGAAGGGAATATATATAGATACAGATATGTTGTTGTTTAGTCGTTTAGTTGTGTCCGACTCTTTGTGACCCCATGGATCAGAGCACACCAGGCACTTCTGTCTTCCACTGCCTCCCGCAGTTTGGTCAAACTCATGCTGGTAGCTTCGAGAACACTGTTCAACCATCTCGTCCTCTGTCATCCCCTTCTCCTTGTGCCCTCCATCTTTCCCAACATCAGGGTCTTTTCCAGGGAGTCTTCTCTTCTCATAAGGTGACCAAAGTATTGGAGCCTCAGCTTCACGATCTGTCCTTCCAGGGAGCACTCAGGGCTGATTTCCTTCAGAATGGATAGGTTTGATCTTCTTGCAGTCCATGGGACTCTCAAGAGTCTCTTCCAGCATCATAATTCAAAAGCATCAATTCTTCGGTGATCAGCCTTCTTTATGGTCCAGCTATAGATATATAGATCCACTTTATTCATGCCATGGATTCTTTAACCACTTCCATCACATCAGCTCTGACTCTGTTTCTCTATGTGAAGGGCTGTTGATGGAGAAGTCCTTTATTTGAAGTCTTCCTCTTGAAGGGCTGTCCGAGTCCAGTTGAAAGACAAAGAACCCAAGGAAGGAGGGAACCTCAAAGTTAACAGCACCTGAGACATCTTGCTGCCTTCCCCATTGCAGTGAGATGGATTGCATGGCAATGCAGACGTACCGAGTTATAGTTATTATATCTATCTAAATTGGCATCAATGCATATAAATTAATATATTCAGATATTGTGCATATCTGTGCCCTTTTTGGTAATGCATGCTCTCTTCTCGAGGAATGCCTTCGGCAAAGGGCATGTTTTTATCCCACTAGGTATCTGCCCTAAACTTGAAACTGCTTTTATATTCGCAGATGTTTTAATTGTGTGTGTGCGCGCGCAATTGTTTTATATATGCTTTTCTTGTATTGTCAAATTGCTTCGAGATGTTTCATAGCAAACAATTCGTAAAAGAAACCAGTCTTGAGAAGGATATTGAGAAGCTGGAACAGTGTGCAGAGGAAGGCGGCCGAGAGGATACAAACTAAACTCCTCTTCTACAAACTGCAAAGTGAAACAAAACAAAACAAAACACCAGTGCCTTTCACTTTTCATAACACTCAGTAGGAGTTACATAAAAGATATCCCCTTAGGCCTCTCCCTGTGTCACTCCCATACCATTGCCCTTTAAAGGATCAACTCACAGTTTCAATAAAACTTCTAGATGGCCACTCTCAGAGCCTTGGCTCCCCTAAAATATTTGAGGGGTCTGGGGTATGGTTACCATACGTTCCCATTTCCCGGGGATAGTCCCCAGATTTACAAATCTGTCCCCTGACAAAATCCATCCCCGTAATGTCCCCGGATTTCATTAAATGTCCCCGGATTTATATTTTAAGTGTTGTAGATTTATTAATAGGGAATGAATGTTGTGTGATTGGTTCAATGGCACAAGACACATCATATGGGGACAAGGCAAAATGGCGGGCGCCACGACAGCGAGGAGCTCCTGAAGCCAGCCACAGCCAACTGCGCTACCAGGCTGGCTCCGGGCTGCTGAGACTGCCGCTGCCGCTGCTGCCACTACCGAAGGGGAATCGGGGACGCCCAACACATCAACTGGGGGAGCTGCTGACCCCTTCCCCCCGCGACCCAAATCGAGACGGGAGCGAGAGCACCCGGCCATCCAGCCGACTGCCCAGAGGCGCTCCAGGGCCAGGAAAACCCCGGAGCCAACGCAAAAGGAAAGGGAGAGGAGAAGAGAGAGAAAGAAAGGAGTAGAAGAAAGAAAGAAACCCTAACCTTGCCATGCTGCCGCTGCCACTGAGAGGTAGGAGAGCACTGGGAGGGGAAGGGCATGTGGCCGAGCCCAGGCCCGTCCCGAGCCTACCTCCATAGTGGTTAGCGCCCCAAGAGAGCAGGCCGGTGCCCAGAGGAAGGCTGCGTGACAGAGAAGACCACAGCAGAGAAGATATTACTACAGTGGTGCCTCGCAAGACGAAATTAATTCGTTCCGCGAGTTTTGTCGTCTTGCGATTTTTTTCGTCTTGCGAAGCACGGTGTCAGGAAAGTTTTGGAAAAGCTTCAAAAATCACCAAAGTCTTTAAAAACCTCAAAAAGGGCTACCACACCGCGTTCTGTGAGTTGCTCCTCGAAGTCAAGTCGCAACTGTATTAACGGTGTTAAGAAAAAGGAAACAAACTTGCAAGACGTTTCCGTCTTGCGAAGCAAGCCCATAGGGAAAATCGTCTTGCGAAGCAGCTCAAAAAACAAAAAACCCTTTCGTCTAGCGAGTTTTTTTGTCTTGCGAGGCATTCGTCTTGCGAGGCACCACTGTACTTCTTTTTTTGTAATAACTTTTTTCTCTTTTCAAAACAATAACAATCTATATATTTTTTAATATATATATTTTTAAGTGTTCCCAGATTCATTGAAAAAACCTGGTAACCTTAGTCTGCCCCCCCCCAAGTCAATGGGCATTGCCATTCAAATGCTAAACATGGACCACATCTTGTGATCAGTTTTGCGAGGTGGGGCTTACCTCGCCCCTCCAATTGTATTCAAGTTGGCACCTCTGTTCTCAGACTAGGACCTTGGGAGACTAGGGTTAACATCCCGCCTCAGCCACGAAACCCACTAGGTGGCCTCTCTGCCTAGCCTACCTCACAGGGTCGCTGTAAGAATAAAATAGGAAGACTAGGCATCCCACCTTGAGCACCTTTGGAGGAAAGGTGGTATATACAGTGGTACCTTGGGTTAAGTACCGGTACTTAATTTGTTCCGGAGGTCCGTTCTTAACCTGAAACTGTTCTTAACCTGAAGCACCGCTTTAGCTAATGGGGCCTCCCGCTGCTGCCGCCGCGCCCCCGGACCACGATTTCTGTTCTCATCCTGAAGCAAAGTTCATAACCTGAAGCACTGTTTCGGGGTTAGCGGAGTCTGTAACCTGAAGTGTATGTAACCTGAAGCATATGTAACCCGAGGTACCACTGTAAAAGGAAGGACGACAGAGAGAAAAATCGGGGTCGAGGAGGACTAACACCAGGTGGCAAAACAATTACCAAAGAAATCAAAGTATCCCGCTTGGCACATTTCGATAAAATATCTTCCCGGAGGGAAAATTCCCCAAGATCTTTGTTTTGTTTTGTTTTTTTAAAGCTGCCTAGATTTAAAAGCCTGTTGCGTCGTAGCGAAAGACACAACCGCTGTCCCGTCGCCCAAAAGTAAAAAAGAATAAAAATGCCCGGCGCATCTGTAACCTGCGCGCGCACCGTTCTCCCCGTGCGCCCTGCACATCTGCCTTCTTCTCCCCAAGCGCCAGCCTCCGCTGTTGCGCCTCTCCCGGCTCCCACGTGGGGCTCTGGCCATCGCTCCCTCGCTCGCCCCTTTTGTGTGCCCTGGACGGTGCGCGCTCGGGGGCGCGCGTGTGTGCCCCCCCCCGGACGCGCCTCCCTCCTTCGGGCTTCCTGTTTCTCCATCCTCCCGGTTGCGCGCGTGTGTGCGTGCGTGCGCGCGCGCCCCTGCTTGAAACCCAGCCTCCCTGCAAAAGCCCTGCCTCCAATTGCTGCGCGATCTCCTTCTTTGGTGGGAGGGGAGAGGGAGGGAAAGAGAGAGAGAGGGAAGGAGAGAGAGAGAGAGAGAGGAGGGAGGGACCCCAGGGTAAGCTGCAGCCCACCCCCACCCCCCTCCTGATTGGGCCTCCTCCTTGCCAGGGCTGGAGACCATATAAAGGGAGGAGAGGGGAGGGGAGAAAGCGCGCGCGGGGAGGAGGAGGGGAGAGAGGCGCAAAAGGCACCCGCGCAAGGCCTCCCTCCCATTGGCTGCGATTCCCTTTGTGCGCCAGGCAGCTGCGAGCCTCAGCTCTCCATTTGAATGTATACAGGGCACGGGGAAGGGACCATTTCCATGGGCCATCTGTCTTACTCTAGCCCGCAGCAGCAGCAGCAGCACCAACCTCTCCAGAAACAGCAGACGCCAGCACTGCCAAAACCATCACCATCGCCACCGAAGAGGAGGAGGAGGAGGACCGCCGCCACCACCATCACCATCACCACCGAGGGATAGTTTCAGCGCCAGGGGACCACAGCAGCTGGCCAAGATGGTTTTGGTACACGTCGGCTATCTTGTTCTTCCAGTGTTTGGCTCTGTGCGAAACAGAGGTATCTCTTTATCTGTGCATTTTCTGGTGGGGTTGGGGTTTGGGGGGAGGTGGAGGGGCGGCTGTAAGGGATGAGGAGAGAGCAACCCCCCCTTCCCTCCCCCCTCCAAATGACCTGGATGGTTTGGTGATGGTTGTAATGGAAGCCACTGGTTGTGTTGCCTTCTTACATACAATTGGCAGAGAGGCGAAGGGGAAGAGGCGTGTGTGTGAGTGTGTGAAAGTGGGGAGGGAGCTGGGGGTGGTGGAGGAGAGCAGAGCAAGTGTAGGGCATTTGAGAAAGGGGGACGGAGGAGGGCAGCATCCCCTAGTGGTGTCGGGGGACCCGAGAAGCGCAAGGAGAGGGAACAGTCTGTAAGGAATCGGGGCGCGGGGGGGGAGATTAGAGAAAGAGATGGAGAAGCGGTGGGAAGAAAGAGGAGCCGGAGGGGGCGAGGGAATGAAAGAAGAGGCGAAATTCGGGAGAGAGAGAGGGAGAGGGAGGGCACGAACTGGGAAGGGACGTAGGGGATTGTGTGCGAGAGAGCATAGGTGGGGAGATACCCCATTAGTAGGAAGGAAAATGGACCAGGATCGGAGATGGCACGGAGGGAAATCTCTAAGTGGATCGAAGCGTTTTGTTTTGAGAAACAGTCTTGTGTTATTTTTTAGAGATCTTGGGTTGTATTTCAGAGCGATCTCGCCTTTTATGTAGAATAATGTATAACCTACCCCCCACCAATGTCCAGTTAACTATAATTTATATATTCTGGCGAGCCCCTCCCCTTTTTTCTCCCTCCCCCTTCCCACCTGACAAATATAGATCCATGCCTGCGAGGAACACTAAACTGCCCCTTTCTATATATGCAGATTGTAGGGAACTTTTACGTGGTGGTTGGTGTGGTCAGAAATTGGAGGGTTTTACTTGATGCCCATAGGATATAAATCCAGGATCCAGGATTTTTGGGGGGCTTTTTTTGGTGTGTGTGTGTGTGTGTGTTTGTGTGTGTGTATTTTTATTTTATTATTTTTTAATTAATTGTCTTATATGTGATCCCAAGCCCCTATAAAACGAAAAGCAAATTATGAGCTCATGGCGAGGCCAGCTGGTCTCATCCCTCGCTCTGCCTTCTGGTGAACTCTGTTCAGCCTCTTTTGTCTTCTCTCTCCCCCCCCCCCCAAATATACTTATCCAGTGGATTTTAATCCTTTTTGAGGGGTTTTGGGAACCCTCCAACCCAGCCCTGCCCCTCTCTTTTTTGTGAGGTTTGACATAGGTGTCTGTGCATTCCCACCCCCCCACACACACCAAACACCCCACTTTTCGTATGACATTTGAGCAGTTTCTAATACCCAGCCCTGAAATATCCAGACCTGTCCATTCGATCTGAGATGCACCCCGGTTTCCTATACCGAAATCCAAATTAACAGCAATTATTTTCCATCTCTGGATTTGAATTTAATATGGGATGTGTATATGGCCATTGCACATATCCTCCAAGCTCCCCTCTTCCCTCCCATTCCTATATAGCCGTCACGGACAACGGTTTTGAATCCTCTGCTTCCTTTTTCTTCTTCTTCTTTTTTTGGGAACAATTTGTCCTCCTCCATTCCATGTATTTTCTTTCAATCAAATTGAGGATGCATTTAGATGTCATGGCTGATTCCTTCCCCGCACCCCCTTTCTCTAAGAGCCATTCTTGCCTTAACTATATAATCTCCTTTTTCCACCCTGCCTGCCTCCTCCCCTTCTGTGGCTCACAGCTGATCAAACCCCTAGGATAGAACAACGGCAACAAAATCTCCCAGTTTAATCAAAGCGACTAAATAATATAGCCCGTTTTCCTGCTAAGCCAAGGCATTCTGCTCATCTCCGCTAAGATGCGATCCATCAGTGAGGTGTGGGCAGTTAATAGAAACACCCCCCCCATAAGAAAAAGAGTCTAAGACCCTAAGGCGGGACTCCTGCCATTGTGCTCCTGAGACCTGTGGGTTTCAGTAGCTACCCCACCTGCCACCCAAATCTCTTTGGCCTGCATCATTCTTAGGCTCAAATCCTGATCTCTGCGAAACACAGGTGAGGAGATGGAGGGTGTAAAAAAAGTGGGCTTCCAAGACACCGGGTCGAAACAGGCATCAGCATCCGCCCCCCCCAGCCTCGCACATCCCTCATTCTGCTGCTTTTGCCTTTCCTCCCCTTTGCCCCTCCCTCCCCGCCCCCCCCACTGTACATGTGTTGTACATAACAGCTTAGTTTCCGCACATGGTGGCATTTCTGTTTCCTTTAATTGCAGCCTCTTCTGGTGTGGTGTTGGTGGTGGTGATGATGATGATGGGATGACGACATTTTTTTTGCATTGATCCAAATCTTTTTCTTTCTTTGTTTGTTTCCAAATTTATTTTGTTTCCTCATCGTGTAGATCAGTGAATGGTCAACCTGCTGCCCCTTCCGTTGCCTTGTAGTTTTCTGCCTCTGCATTTTAGCTCTAATGTTGACACCCCCACCCCCTTCTTTAACCATTTCCTGTATCCATCTGAGGAACTGCACTGGCCTTTTAAGCTGAAGTATCCTCTTTCTGTGGTGGCGTTGCTGCAAAACCGGGGTGGGGGTGGGTGGATTGTTGGCTGCTGGGAGGAGGAGCTGATGATATTTTAAAGCCGGAATGCTACCTCCCTCCCTTGCCTGCTCAGTTATCCTTGCATGACTTGAAAATGCAAAGGATTATTTATTTATTTTAAAAGCAAAGAGAGAGAGAGAGAGAAGGCACTGTTTGATCACTTCCAAAAATTATGCATCTCTGCAAAATATGATAGTGATGTAGCCAAGAGCTTCTTCCTCAACGATTACGGTTTCTTTAAAAAATAAATAAAACTAAAGAGCCAGCAGGCTGTAATTTCAAATTCAGGTGTCATCAGGGAAAAAGGGGGGGGGGAATTTGCTTGTGTTCTTTGCCTCTGGGGAGAAGCGCCAGGAACAATAGATCTCACCTCTCTTTGGGTCTCATTGGCTTCCAAACACACCCACTGAGGAACTAAGGTTCTGGGTTAGGTGGTATTTGCACCTGCTAAAAACCATCCAAGACTTTCTGACAGAGGATACTGAGGCTTAAAGCTGAAGTCTTAAACCACCAATCTTCCTGTGAAAAGAAAAAGGAAAGAAAGAATATGGTAGACAGACTGTATGCTCAAACCTGTTTCTCTTTAGCTGTCATTGTAGTAGTCTAGAAGGGGTGGTGGTGGGGAAACAGGCCATTTTCCAATATAGCTCTAGTTTTATAACGCCATTTTTGTATCTTCATCCTGTTTAGCTGAGTACATTTGCACTGTAAATTCCTGTTAAGTGGATTCATTTTGCTTCAGTTGGGTGGAGGACAATTTATTGGGGTTTTTTGCTCCCCTTGCCACCCAAATCTCCGCCCTAACCTCTGTTCTTGTATTCGATCTTGGTTTCCCAGGCAAATTGACTTTGGCTTTGAATTTCTTACAAAAGAAAAAGAAACCCTTGCAAATTAAACAAACAAACAAACAAACAAACAAACACAACCCCCCCAATCATCTGCCAAAAAGGCTCTGCGAATGAACACCTTCTTTACTTTGGGAGCTCGTCGTAAATTACACATAGATACACTCTCACAGACTCGCACACCTCTCTCTCCTCACCCAAATTCCTCCCTTCCCAACAGTTGACCTCCATCTGTTCCCTTTGCAAGCTGAACCCCACTCAGCACCCACAAAACTCCCTAACAAAAACCGACGTGTCCCATGTCTTTAATGTAACACAAAACATTCCCCCATACATGCACCATTTAAATAACACACACACACACACACACACAAACACCCCTATTGGGTGGCAATTTGGATCCAATCCTTCTCTTTCGGAACGGCCCAGGGGGGCGGGGAACCAAAACATGCAAACTAACAAAAAGGAGGAAAGAGAGAAGGAAAAACAAAACAAAACAAAAAAACACAGAGGAAAGTGGAATGCTTGCTTAGCAAAATGGTTTTCCATTCAACAGGGATAACATTTCTCTCTGCTGTGCTGAATTTTTTACTTCCTGTTCTTATTTTGTGGGTAAATTTTTTTCTGTATTCAGATATCCTTTGGTTGTGTATTTCTTCCACCTTTTTTCTTGTACTAAAACTTGAAGCATGGTCTGTATTTTTTTACATTACCTAGTTTTTTCTGATGTAAAAATCTCTCTCCGTAGAGACATGCCCCGCTGAAATGTAATGTGCAGTAGCTGATACATCTTTATTCATTGTATGCCGCTTCCGTTCTGTTGCCCTTCCACGGCATGGTGGGCCCCTGTTGCCTTTCGTATTGTGTGCATGACAACATTGTTACAACACAGTTCCACTAATACTAATATACAATCTCTCAATAAAGAAACTAGTTTTTCCTATATTAACCTAGTGTGCTTTTTCTATTGCTGTCCCCCACCTCATTTATTGTTGTATTCCTGCTGTTTTAGATTATTTCCCCCCTCTCCCGCCCCCGCTTCTCCACCCCCACCTCCTCCCCCATTTGAGTGAATGGATCTCTTTTTCTCTGGGAGGGGGGGAGCGCCACCAATATTGGGTTGGAGGGGGCGGAGTAGAGAGTATGAATGTTCTTTCTCCCATATCTACCTTCAAGCATTCTATAACCTGTGAATACCAACTCTCTCTCTCTCTCTCTCTTTCTCTCTAGATACACATCCTATATTATCTTTCCCCTCCCTCCCTAGGTGGAGATGACTCTCTAATTGAGGTGCGCCAACCTTTTGCCAAGCTGCCCCTGTCCCCCGGCCAGGTGTCCCAACATCTGGAGGGTGCCAAGTTGGCAAAAGGCTGGTCCTCAGAGCGCCCAAGACGAAAATGTAGAGAGGTATGCATGTAAATTCACACACTGGTGGAAAGTCCAAAACTGTTAAGCGCAGGAGAAGCTTGCTAGCTGCTGCGAAATCCCAAGGAGAGGTTTATGTGCTGAACATCACACCAGGTTGCTAATAGGTGTGAACAACGACACCAAAGTGGATG